TATTTGGCTTAAACAATTCGAATTTAAATTTAGTTAAAATTAGTTTATAATTATTTATAAAGGATGATTTGTTAAAATTAATTGTAAGTCGTATTAATATAACAAAGATTAATTCTAAAAACGGTTTAATATTGTGGGTATAATCGTATTAAATATTAAAATACATTATAAATTATCAAAATAAATTAGGGATAAAAAAGAATCTAAAAGATATCAGTTTATATTATTTCTCGAACGAAATGAACATACATTTGAACCTTCAGGTTTCTTAAAATGTCATTAACAAGCTATTTATTTAAATTTTGCATTTAACAAAATTCCGCCCTAATCTACTTATTTACTTTCCTATGTTTTTTGTTTTGATCAGGTTGATTATTATTTTATGACTTACTTAAAAATATATTCTTCAAACGTTAATTTATTTTGCTTCAACCTAAAGGTTATAAAAAATTATTATTAACAAAAGCAAAAAATATATATTTATTAATTTGTCTCTTGAGTATATATATTTAAATATATTTTAGCAGGTATATGTTAAATTTATATTATAATCCTCATCATTCTCTTTAAAATTTTTTGTTTGGTTTCTTGACCAACAATCGAGCGTCTTTTTGGCCAAAGTTTCCATGGCGGCAACAAGCATACGCCCTGTGTGCCCGTCTCACACTGGCACTGCCCATTCTTCAGCCCCCTCTACTCACCATCTCTTAACCCATGCCAACCAACCAGAATCTCCCCACATTGCGGTACCCAAAAATGGCAAAAAAAGAAGTGGAAGAAAGTCTAGAAGAAAAGAAAGCGGAGCGGAGGAAAAAGAAAGCCGAAGCGTAGGACGCTGGACTCATGAAAGCTTTTTGCGGCGCACCAATGGCACCGCGTTATGCTCTTACACACACTACACCACGAGGTGCACACACACACACACACACACGGAGAGACCCACTCATGTACAGGGGGAGGGTCCTGGGAGAGTCCTTGACGAGAGGAGCGGGGGCGGGGGAGGGGGCGGTGCGAGTGGGAGGCGACTATGAGAGTGTCCCAAATGGGAATACACTCACACAGACCAGCCATCGACGAATACCGTTACGTGAGGGAAAAGCAAGAACTCAAAAAAAAAAAAAAAAAAAAGAAGGGAAAGGGGGGGAGGTGGTAAGGAAAAGCGCTGGGAAAGCGGTGGAAAAGCCGAGGAATGGCAAACCCAAAACTGACACCAAAAGCGGCTAACCCTTTATCGCACATAGGGTTTCCTTACAGGACCGCATATTTAGGTTGCAGTTATGGGGTCTCCCTTTCTCTCTCTCGCTCTCTCTTTCGCACACTATCCCTCTCTCTTTTCCCCACTACCTCCCCCCCCAACCCCATCACATCGTATGTGTGTGTGTGTGCTTTGGACACAGACAGTGGCATACATATGTACATAGTTTTGGGTTACCCAAAATCGACGTGATGTTATATTATATGGAAAACACAATTTGCTCAACGGTCTGCCATTTGCCTCTGCCGCAGTCGCAGTCGATGCCGGCGTCGCTGCCTCAGTCGCAGTCGACGTCGACGCCAACTTTAAGTAGCACTCGAAATCGTGGGCGGTAACGATTTCTATATGTGTGCAAGGACCTAAAGGAAATGGTTGAAAAATGGACAAGTTAGGAAAAAAAAAACAAGTCAAGTTGGGAAAGGAGTACAAAAAAAATAGGAGTGTAAAAATAGAAGGGGTTGGAAAAATAAGGGGGCTCTATAGGGTTAAGTGGGGAAAGGCCCCCAAGACCAACGATCGTCGTACTTCTGCGGACTGTAACTACTGCCATTTTGCGTGGCACAACTATAAAATGGTGTCCCAGCTGAAAAAGCACCAGAGCATAAATTATATAAACATACATTCCAAAAAGTAGTTGATTTACAAAAGCGGAAAAACTGGATAGTAATTAGATAAAGTAGAATTACTAATTAATAAGGGAAAACATTTATTGCTTATTAATAAATAAAAGAAAGAAAACTGGATAGTAATTAGACAAAGTAGAATTACTAATTACTGGAAGGGAAAACATTTATTGCTTATTAATAAATAAAGGATTTTTTAATACCATATTTTACTTGATTGATACAACCATTTGTATGATTAAATGAAAAAAGAGTTTACCAAATTTATAGAACGTTAATTTTATTAAGTAACAGAAAAATAAATAACTTTTCAACATGCAGGGATCTTTATGAATTTTATAAATATTAGTTATATCTGGCTATTTATACATAATAAATATTAGAATGTATGATAACGCATTAAATGTTTAAGAAATAAGACTATATTTTTAAGCCATAAAATAAACTTATCGACTTACCAATTTATTATTGCGTGGGGTAAATTAAAAAAACATAGATTCAAATGCTCTATATATTCAATTTTATATATCAAATTTAATTATTCCTTTTCTCAAGCAACGTTGTAGTCTTATAATTGAAAATGAAGCTGCACCGAAAGACATTTAATAATGAAATCGCCTTTGAAAGCCCCTCTCAGCGCGAAAGTTTGAAAGGCTCTTTGGCAGACAATCGGTCCTCAAATGAAAGTTGCCATCTCAGTGACATCCATTACTATATAGTGAGTGCCATTGCCATATATAGGTGTACACCCACCGATTGTCATTTTTGCCGCCTTTGTTTTGACTGAGCAGCAAAAGTTTTGCATCAAAAAAGACGCTAGACATGGGCGAAATGTCGAGATGTTGACAACTTCCATTTGTCGCAGTTTGACCCAGTTTACCCGCATTGTACCGATATCAATGACTATATACTCATATATAGCGGGCCATAGATATAGATATGGGCAAATGTGTGAGCGGGTGCGGGTTGGAAAATGAAAATGGATATGTCATGCAGCCATGCCAATCAAGTAATGCAGCTGTCTCAAGACTCAAGATGCCTTTTGAGATGGTGGGTGGGAAAGTCGGGTGGAAATGTGGGCGGGAAAGTGGGGCGGTGGTGCTGCAGTGGTTCGTTTGGTTGGTTCGTTGGTGTCACATTTTCGGTGAAATTTTGGTTTGCAAACTTTGGCAAAACTTGGCCAAGTATTTGGCCTCAAGTGTGTTAAAACGAGACGGAGACAAACCAGCCGGTCCGCCATCGAAAGGGACGGCTAGCTGGGTGCACGAAAGAGAGAGGGCGAGTGTCGAGGATGTGAGTGTATTGTGGTCGGTCTGCCTTTGCCATCGCCTTTCCCGCCGGAGAATTCGAATTCGCTTTTCTCTTCTCATTGCTCTCTATATCTCTCTCTTACTCAGCTCCGTCTTGGCGTTTTCTTAAGCTTCGCCTCCTGGGCATCAGTTGCACTGAGAGAAAATAGTGTACGCTGGCAGAAAACATTCAGAAGAGCAAGCATTTAGTAGGAAACTTAAGAAAGTACTTATTTGTTTCCCTTTTGTTTATATCATTTTAACTAATAATTTGTTTTTTTTAAGGTTCTTAACTCCTAAAAATGGCAGTATTGCTTTTAAAAGATATCATTAAAATTATATTTTATTATTTTTACTTTGCTAATTAACTTTTGGGACTCAATTAAATTTAATTGATTTTGAGATCAGCCCATTTTTTTTTTTAATTAAATTTATTTTTAGAATAAAATTTATACTTAGGTAAATATAAAGTAAAAATATATAAAAAATCATTTTTGGGTACGACGGTATTAAAAATAAATAAAAATATAATAATGTTTATGTGGCGTATACGTGATATTTTCTCTGCGTGCCAACTCTGGCTCCTTTTGGCCTGTTTTTGCTCTGTTGCCGTCGGCGTCGCCTTCAGCCATCTTATTCTGGTGCTGCTCCTGCTGCTCCTGCACCTTCCCCTGCAATTTCCTGGAGGCGAAGGAGGGATCCTGCAGGATGCCCGCAACTGTGGGCTGCCACTTGATAGCGGCCACATGGACATGGCCAAGAAGCAAGGAGCCGACTGAGATGGAGCGATTGCGAGAGCGAGAGCGAGACGCCACTGGCTGGGGGATAATTTTAATGAATTTATTTAGGAGTTTGTCTTGGGGCAGGTGGCCTCTGTACATAAGCAGCAATGGCCGCCACTGCAGAGTCGGTTGGTGGGAGAGGGGGGGTGCACATCCTTTCAGGGGGGTGTGGTTCCTTGCCAATGTTGTTTTGCAGCAACCGAAATGTGCGGCAGCATTTTTGGTCTTGCACAGTGGGCTATATGTGGTCGAGACAAGGCTTTCGGCCCTCCTGCCTTCTCTCATCTTGGCCTTCGTTTTTCCCGCTCCTGTGTCTTTTTTTTCGGTCTGCGAGATTTTGGCTATTGGTCTTGGCATTGCACTTGGTGTCCAAGAGAGATTTGGCCGAAATTAACTGTTTTCGGGGGCTTATGAGTTTTGTCTGGCCGGATTTTCGCATTTTTCATAAGGAGTGGTTTTTGGCGAAAATTACAATTTTTAGCTTTGAGTGCCAATCAATTTATAACGAAAAAAAAAAAATAGGACACTTGAACCATTGATTATTATTATTTTGGTATTTTCTTATTTGGCCATAAAAATCATTTGTAGGGGATTTTCGTCAAAATTTTGAAAGAATTTTTGTGTTATAATTTCGAGGAAAATACGACTGTTTTCTGAGAATGCCATTCGATTGGAGATTTTATAAAGAATTCAACGATGTATGGCATTCCAACATTCGACTATTATTTCCCAAGGTTTTGATCAAAAAACCGGAAATTTGTGCTGATTTTTCCAGATTTTGGACATAATATGATTTTTTGGGAAAAAACATTTTTTTTTAAATTTATTTTTCTGCGGATACCATTGGATTGGAAATTGTATAACGAATTTATTATTATTTAATTTATCGGCATTGCTGCATAGCCTTTAAGCATATTCCCATAAAAATCGAAATATAGTTGTTTTATAGATTATTTTACTACTTAAATGCAAGAGTATATCAACATCGGCATTGTTTTCTTGTATTATATTTGTCTACACCCATTGATTGGTAATTTTGATATCCTTGCAGGTTTTGCCCACCATCTGGTGGGGATGCACAGCCACCTGCACGCCCCCGATTGGCGTGCCCACATGGCCTTGGGCGGGCGTCCGGCCGCCTTCCCCGCCGCCCCCTTCTTCGGCCACCATGCTGCGGCGGCGGCGGCGGCCTTTCCCACGGCCAGCGGTCTGCGCGTATTGAGCGGTTAGTTCGGAGATCTCACATTACATATATGTATATATAGTGATCAGTGATTAATGTGTGTGTTATTCCAGGGGAGGGACAGCAGCATCAGCAGCAGCAGTTGGCCACCGTGGGGGCGGCACATAGCACCACCAGTCCGGAGGGGTCGCCCACCACCACCACCACGAGCGGTACTCAGTTGAGCGCCTTTGTCCAGCCGCCGATGACGTCATCGCCGCCGCCGGTGACCAGTTTGCAGCACGACAGCAACAACAACAACAACAGCAGCAGCCACATCGATGCGGGATTCGAGAGCGATAGCATTTCGGTGACGGGATCGCCGAGGAAAAGCCTCGGTTCACCTTTGACCCACGACGAGGAGGAGGGGGAGGCGGAGGCGGAAGCAGAGGCGGAGGCAGAGGAATCGGAATCGGTGGGATTGAGTCTAAATAATGGCGGAATTCAGGGTACACTGGGCGAAAGTTCACCCGGTTCGGGTGGCGCCTTCACCGCCCTCATCCAACGCAGTGGCAAAAATCCAACGGAATTATTTGGCGGCTTTGGTGGAGCGGGTGGCAATCACTTCACACCCGGCGGCGGACATAGTTTCAATCCCGCCCTGGCCGCCCAACTCTTCCTGCAAAGTCCACTGTTGCCGCAATCCAGCCAGTGGCTGTATACCCAGCTATATGGCAGCTACAGTGATCTCCCGTGGCTGAGGAACGCAGCGGCCGCCGCGGCAGCCAATATCAATCCGAATCAGGAGGCACCCACTGTGCCCACGCTGAGCAGTAATCCCGATCACGATGGCGTGAATCTGATCAAGCGATGTGTGACCTTGATCACCCACAATCCGCCGGATGCGGAGAATGCCAATCCGAATGCCTCGCCGCCGGTCAGTTCCACTCGGAGATCCCCGTCACCAGTGGAGACCATCGACCTGGACGATGTCAGCACCACCTCGCGATCGGCCAGTGGGTCAAGTGGTGGTGGTGGTGGTGGTGCAGGTGGACCCATTAGGACGCGAACCCCAAAACCATCGGCGGATGTCTGGCGTCCTTACTAGCGGCTGGCGGCCGCCTTGCTCGGCACTTGTCTGGCGGCCCAAGGTCACGGGGGCGGTGGCGGTGCAGGTCACGGGGAGGAGGAGGAGCGGGAGGAGCAGGAGGTGCATCCAGAGCGGGACACTTAGCTGCCCCACACAAAGGAAATAATATTAATAGGGCAGCAGCGAGCTTGTGGTGTTGTGAATAGTCGCCATATCGCAGCTGGCGGGGATTGCTACTTGAATTTGTTAGGTCTAAAAGTTTGTGTCATGGGAAACACATCAAGTCAACTAAACACTCTCATAGTTATACAGATCAATACTGAAAATTTATGTATTTCTTGTAAGAAGTCTCTTATAAAGGTGTCTAAATGTATGGAGCGATAAAAACACAAAATTTTCGTACTTCTAGATTCAAAATAAATAGTTTTATAAATGATTTGAAAATCATTGTGATTTCCGTAGCGCCCTTTTTAATAATTGGATTCTTTCAAGTTAAACTCAAATTAATTTTAAAAATAATTATGTATTTTACTGAGTTTTTCATTATTATTATTTATTTTTATATAAGTTTTTAAATTATAAACTTAATTAGCGCTTACAAATTCAGTAGAAAAAGCTGTGCTGATTTCATAAAAAGAGTTCTCATAATTTTATAATTGTATAGAATATTGTTTTCAATATTGCAAACTTTTGTTACTGAGCTTTTTTATTTACTTCAGCTGTTATTATTAAACTAATATTAAGTATATATTCATTATTATAAAGAAAAAAGTGTTTTTAAGCTTTTCTATGACTTTATTCTATTATTTTATAGTCCAAAATGTTTTTCTTACAGTTTAGATTTGAGAAGAATACAATTTTGTATAAGTTTTGACAGTAATATTCGAATTCCCAATTTAAAATCCCACAAGAAATTGAGCAACCCAATGACATATACCAAATTCAAAAAGCAATACTCGCATTAAGTAATTTTTTGTGTTTTTTTTATGGTCAACCCTAATGTAAGTGGCTCACATATCGAATTTAAATCAATTAGCATGGCCCTAAGAATCAAATAAATATATATATATATATAAATAGTTAAAGGTGGGGGCTCACATACATAATATATGCAAATATATACGAGATCTGTGTACATTGAACGTATATATATTGCTCTGTATTTCCCCCTCCTTAATCAATATTGCAAACTTTAAACATAGACGTTTAAGAATATACCATTTTTTTTTGCAAGACACGAAAACATAAGAATATGAAAAAAAAGAAATGAATTAATAATATAACATATTTTAAAATTTATTAAAAATAAATTTAAGAAATTACATTGAACAAAAACACACTGAATCACAGACAGACACAAAAAAACACCGATTTGTACATAAGGTACTTGAGTAGTGTGCCAAAGATTCGTTAATAAAAATTTCAATTAAAGAATTAATTTATTTATAAATTTATTTATTTATTTTCAAACTGTAAGCTTAAAGTTATAAACTAAAGTTACAGCGGGGGTTAGCTACTAAAGCTTTCGGCCGACTTCATTGTGTTTAAATATTGTTTTTATTCCTCTTAATATTTATATTAGCTTAATTAGGGTTTGACTTCATGAATTTCCTAAATGTTTTGAAAAGTAGGGGGAGTTTTGAATACCAAATATATTGATAGCATATTTTTAATAAATTTTAAAAATAATTAACGGTTTAAATCCATTCAAAACGAGCTGCAAGAACTTCCTGCCACATTCTAATGCATATAATCACCCTAATACTGCCCTAATTTTTTCTGAGCCCTCTTTAAGGGTATGAAAAAATCGAGAGGCCGCAGAAAAAGACAGGAGGTGAGAGGTAAAGTGTGGGGATTGGGATAATCAGCGCCGCCAAGAAAAGCTTTTAAGAAAATTAATTCACCCCCTGCCCAAATCTTTTGAAGGGGTTAACACAAATATAAAGAGGAAAAGAGGAATTGAATTTATTGCCAGAGAGTCTTTGGCGGAGTTTTTGGCGAAAATAGAAATCTGGCTAAATAAAAAGTTTAAATAAATGGTCAAACTTGAAAGCGAAAAAAAGCCAAACAGAAAAATCCTAGAAAAGGGTCTCGTCTGAAGGATAAATTGCGGGGAATGGGGCAGAGTAGACTTTCAAATGTACAGGGTAAATTTTGGCCCAGGCAGCTTATTTAAGTCGTGCGAATAATGAATGAGTTTTCCAGTTTTCCAGCTCATATTAAATGAGCTTGGCGGTGATCCAAGAACGTAGCTCTGCGCTTTTCTTTTTTACTTTTTCTCGCTTTTCCCACTTTTCCTCGCCTAATGAAGCATACAAACAATTAGCGAATGGCTTCTAAGACACACAAAAAAAATTAAAGAAAATACGGGGATTATCCCTTTGAGGCTTAATGTAATCGCTTGTGTTTATCTTAGATTATTTATCTTATTCTTATTTGGTCGGAATCTTTGTTAGCTTTTTTAGCTCACTATTAAGGAATGAAACATGATGCGAGGTAAATAATTTGTATGTCTTGGAAAGATGAATAATCGAAATAATTTAAAAGAAAATAATTCCATTTCTGTTTTGTTAGAACTTTTAATATCCTTTTTGGACCTCCCATCAACACCTATCTTCTATATCTTTTAATGGTTATATCTTAAAGTTTGACAATTTTAAAGGATGAAGGATGAACCTATTAAATATTTTCAATAATATGGTATGGTTCTTTGAAATATCACTAAAATATTAGTTTTTAAATTAAATATATATGCATATCTTCTTTAATTAGCACCTTCTCTTGCGATTAATATCTTATAGCTTAATTTTTCCAGGGCTACAGAAGTCATTTGTCAAGTGCCCCACTAATCCCGGCCATATGTGACTGCTGTTATCCCCGGGAACCCCATTATGGCGACATCGTGTGTAAGTAAAGAAAGGGTTTATCTAGCGTGCTCAAATCAGAAACAAATGGCTGAAAATTAACTCTGCCTTATGAGTTGGAACTGACAAATCGTCAGACGCATCCTGACCCGATCCCTGTCGTTAAAATCAGAAAATTAACATACTCAAATGTGAACACTTTTCGTCCCAAAAAAGCGGCCGAAGAAATTAAAAAAAGGAATAACCTGAAATGAAGGCAATGATTTTCCGGTCCTTGGGGGTTGCTCAACGCTTTCCACTTTCCACCTCCCCGCTTTCAACTTTCAACTTTCCACTTCATCGTTATCAACGCAACCTTGTCTCGTGTCACCTTTTCTGACACATCCTCGTCCTCGTCCTCGTCCACATCCACATCCTTATTTTTATCCTGCTCATGGTCAATGGTCCTGACAGTCTCAGCTGCATTTTCGGTTTCTTTTGTGCCGGTTACTCTGAGTTTACAAGGAAACTTTTCCATTTAGAGGATATACATTGAACAAATGGTTTTATTAGAAAGTAAACATATATAAATTTTTTCTTTAAAATATTTCGTTTGTACAGAATCCTAAAAAAAGGAGATTAAAATAATTATATTAATTACAAATTTGTTATTATTTTTTTTATAATTTATACATTTAGTAATATACACACTTTTGAAAGAACTTTTTGCGTACAATTTAATTTGAAAATAAACGGAAAAATTTTAATTTTATTAACTAAAAAAGTCCTTTAGTTTTATAATTTATGAATCTATATATTTTCGATTTTTTTTCAAATAAAACTTATTGAAAAATATGTTGTAAATATATGTAAAATAAAATATTTAAAAATCTGTATATGATATAATATTATTATACCATAGGTATTTGCCATTCGATTAACTTGACTATAATTGCCTTGCTGTCTGATTTTTTCCTATACAGGTTCGGAGTCGGAAATTCCGAGCTGCCTTCCAATTTATCCTGTCATAAGGAGCGGGGTTCGGGGATGATATGGGGGGAGCAGCCTGTCTGAAGACGTTGTCCTGGCTACCCGTTTCTGCCTCAAATGATGACTGGCATTTGATGGCGACAAATGTCGGTGGGTGGCTGGATTTGGATGTGGCTGTGAATGTGGATGTGGGTGTGGGTGGTTGGCAATCTTAAGAAACAGCAACGACACAACCTAATAAACTGTTGCCCAGGACGACCAGCAATTGACATTGGCCGGCTTTTAACCTCGTCGCTCTGTGCTTTTCCATCAGATTGTTGGCAACAAAGGACCAAACCTTCATATCGTGTTTGAGGTTGTACAGGTTCGAAATTAAAGCATCTGCTCCATGCCAGAATTTCCCATTTCCACCCATTTTCGACTGTCGCTCAAGCGTTAAATAGAAAATTTTATGGCCACTCGTTGGGAGTGTTAGTGTCCTGGTAACACACGCACACAATTGTCCATTCAAAAAGATAGAGTATGGTAATATATATATATATATGCAGAACAGAGGAAAACCATAATCCCAAGAAAATATTATATCAAAAATGTAAGACGTTCAAGGAACACTGAATAATTACTAAATATATATAATATATATATTTGAATTATTTTTTATACGTTTTCTTTTACACGATCTTTAAGATACTTTATTAAAAATGGTTATTTACCTTTGCCCAATATATGTTTCTCCTCAGTGTAAGGACACACACTTGAATCGCATTTTCATTTGAGTAAGTGGGCTTTCAATTAACATGTTCCAGCCCCCATTTAAATGCCAAGTAATTTGACTTTATGCCATTATCAAGCGCCAAAAACTTGTGTGCACAGAGAGGGCTGGCAAACGACTTGAGCCGGACAGAATTTACCATTTGCTGCTAATTATGCCATCATTAGAGACACCAGCACCCACACCCACACACACACCCATACCCACACCCACACCACACTTGCAATAAATTTGACACCACCCCAATTCAACTGGCATCATGTGACGTCAGTTTATTGCAAATCGTTGCTGGGGGCATTTTCCTGTTATTATGACACATCCAAGCACTTGAGTGCACCTGCAGAAAATGATTCAGTTACTCCATTTACTAAATTTCATTTAACTTTACAAATTCATAAATAAACATTTTTTTT